GGGAAGTCGTTGTTTTGAATAAGAAATGCGAAATATTGGCGGAGGCGGTGGGCTCAAGCTGAATCCCAGCATCTTTGGGAGGCCGAGATGGGCGGATCACAAGGTCAAGGAAGATCCGAGAACCGATCCTGGCTCACACGTTGAAACCCGTCTCTACCTAAAAAAAAAAAAAGTACAAAAAACTAGCGGAACGGCGACGTGGCGGGCGCCTGTAGTCCCAGCTACTCCGGAGGCTGAGGCAGAGAATGGCGTAAACCTGGGAGGACGGACAGCTTGCCAGTGAAGCTGAGATCCGGCCACTGCACTCCAGCTCTGGGCGACAGACGCAAAGACTCCGTCTCAAAAAAAAAAACCAAAAAAAAAAAAAAGAATGGAATATTGATCAGCAATAACTTTCTGCGGCACAGTACTATCACCAGTTAGCCCTTCAACCGTGTATCTAACACCAGTTCATCCTAGCCCTCGTGAGTCTTTAGGGAAGCGCCAAGTACATACATAAATCATGTGGCGGGGAGTCAGGCTTTGGATCAAAGTGGTACTTACACAGACGGCCTCAAACACGTGAAAGACGCTATAAACCGGCAAGACCTGGCTCACCAGGGCAATGACATCTCTGCAGAAGAAATGAGAAAGTATTAAGACAGACGTATCCTTTCAGACCCGTTTATATCCCTTCTATTCCACACCCCACCCCCACAAGAAAAAGCTTTGGAATAGAGGTAGATCCCCCACACAAATGTAACTGGCACTGCTAGCCCAGAGTTTTCTGTGTCTGTGGGTCACACCTAAACTTTCAGAAGAGCCCCCACAATTTTGGACTGCCCTTCAATTAGCCTCTTGTCTGTGGACAGGCACTAAAGGCCTAGGGTGGACAGACAGAGGTTGGCTTCCTCTCAGTGACAGCCAAGCCTGGGCTCTTCCTACTTCCTTTGGGCCGAGCACTGAGCCAGGCCTGTGAAAAATCTGAGGACAGGCTGGGAACCACTTTGACATTTTCCAAAAGTCAGCATAGAAAACTGATTACCTACTCATCACTGGTAAAAATACGCCCCAGCTGATTTTTCAGGATGCTTATCACGGTGCCCAGGAGCACGGAAATGCCAACTGGAAGAGACAAAAGGTGCAGCAATGACAGCCCCCGAGCCAGGGAGCACCCCTGCTCAGATCAGCAAGTCAGCCCAGCCCTCTGCAACCAGGTGCCTTTTGTCACGGGCCCTGATGTCCCCTGCATCCGAGGCGTTCATTTGGGCTAGACGGTCTTGTAGGAAGGGCAGAGTGGAAGATGCTTCCACTCCAGTGGTTCTCAGAGTAGGCGGCACATAGCTCCAGCAGCAACGTCACCCGGGAACTTGCTAGAAACAGATTCTCAGACCCTGCCTCCGACCTACTGAATCAAAGCCTGCTGGTGAGCCCCAGCAATCTGTGACCAGCCCTCTCGGGGATTCCGGCGCAGGCTACAGCCTGAGAACCATTACAGGGAAGCCCGTCTGAGCCTTCCAGTCTCAGAAAGCACAGCCACGATGTCGGAAGACACGAGTGGCTCCTTCTCAAGAGTGGGTTGGCAGCTGCCGGGCTCATGGGGGTGCTGGGAGGGCCAGGCTTGCAGAAGGACTCTGGACAGCTGGAAGGAGAGTGCTGGGCAGGAAGGGCCTTCAAAGAGTCAGGCTTTTCTCTAAGGTAAGTGGTAGAAGCCAGCTGTCTCCACAAGAGTCCCACAATCACAGCGGCAGGGAAGGCGTGAGTGGGGATGGGGAGAAGGTGGTGGGAGGATCGCTTGCTGCTCAGAGGGAGGTAGCTGTCAGCCTAGCAGCAGAGGCTGGCCTGGGTCAGATGGCAGGTCCAGCAGGCTTGGAAGATAAACCTGGCAGCTCCCACGGCCAGCGCTGCCTCTACCATGCCAGCCTTCCTCTGGCCCGGGCTGGTGACTCAGGCCAATGTTCAGAGGCCCTACCAGGAGAAGATTCCACCTACCTATGCAGAGCACGCCCGAGACGGCCGAGCGCTTGGCCTGCACAGTGTCCGCAGCCCCCAGAGCCATCCCCACTCGGACACAGACCCCGATGCTGAGCCCCAAGGGAATCTGGGATCAAAGATAAGAAAGCCCTGTCAGTGGACCCACCCTCCAACCCCTGAAGTCCTGAGCCAGCCTGGGCCAAGAGGGACGGGAGCGGGAAGGCAGGGCAGATCTCAGGCATGCAGCGTAAGAGGTATGTCACATTCTTGCTGCTGACAATGAGGCCGGGAGAGCTGGGGCTGGGAGAAGGGTGGGGGTACCCCTCCATGAGCCAACCAGTCCCACCACCACCTGCGCCCTCAGAGGGGCCACAGGCAGGCGGGCCTTGCAACCGAAATCACTGTGTTGTCAAAAGCAAATGAGTAAACAGATTTTAAAGAGGCAACTGTGGTCTTAGTCCCGGAAAAGCTCCCTGTAAGAAAAAAGAGATTTCAGCAGAAACCATTTGTAAAAATAAGAATCTCTAAATTGGTTTTGTAATGTAGATTTTTGTGACTCCTTTGCCTAACGCTGGGGTCAAAGATAACATGCAGATGCACACCGGAGTGACATGGGCTGCGTAAGCAAGATGATGGCTGTGTCTCTGTGGGGAGTAGAGAGGAGGTGGGGGCTGTGGTGGAGGAGGGCCCATGGCCCCGGTGGGGACGCTGTCACCCAGCGCTGGCCGACTGCAGGGTGCAGGAATGTGGGCCACTGCTCAATGGAATGTGCCTTTTTTTTTTTTTTTTTTTTGAGACAGAGTCTCACTCTGCTGCCCAGGCTTGAGTGCAGGGGCATGATCTCAGCTCACTGCAACCTCCACCTCCTGGGTTAAAGCGAATCTCCTGCCTCAACCTCCCAAGTGGCTGGGACTACAGGCCTGTGCCACCACACCCAGCTAACTTTTTATATTTTTAGTAGAGATGGGGTTTCACCATATTGGCCAGGCTGGTCTTGAACTCCTGGCCTTGTGATCCGCCCACCTCAGCCTCCCAAAGTACTGGGATTATAGGCGTGAGCCACCGCACCCGGCCTGGAATGTGCATTTTTTAAAGAAAATTCAAAAATAAGATTCTGATGTGAAATCTCCCAATTTTAAAACAATGCTAATTACTTTTTAAAATTCCAGCATCTGTGGGTGAAATATCACCCTTGGTGGACAGGTTGTGGGCACCAGTGTGTGAGCCCTGGTGTACGCTGAGCAGGGCCTGGACCTGGTGGGCACGAGAGGCCCAGGGCGGTCCCTTGGGAGACAGAGACAGCCTCAGGTGACAGCCTGCCCCCCTCCTATAACACCTCCAGCCATCAGATGGGGGATCTGGGGAAGGCACCCCTTCAGGAGCCTTACCATGTAGGACACAGTGGCCACCTCGTAGATGACAGCCTGGGCTGAGAGATCCACCACGCTGAGCAGCCCTGGAGGAGAGGCCTGCTGTGAGCCCAGCCCACAGCCCCAGACACCCAGACCCTGCGCCAACAGGACGCTGCTCCGCTTTGGGGACTCGTGCAATTTTTATTTTTTTCCCTTGAGACAGGGTCTCACTCTGTAGCCCAAGCTGGAGTGCGATGGTGCAATTATAGCTCACTGCAGCCTCCACCTCCTGGCTTAGGTGATCCTCCCATCTCAGGCCCCAGGTAGCTGAGACTACAGGTGGTGCCATCACACCCAGCTAATTTTTGTATTTTTTGTAGAAACAGAGTTCCACCATGTTGGCCAGACTGGTCTCAAACTCCTGGCCTCAAGTGATCCACCCGCCTCGGCCTTTCAAAGTGCTGGGATTACGGGCGTAAGTCACTGAGCCCGGCTGATTTTGAAGGGCAGATTGATAACAATGACAACAAAAAGACATTCCTGCCTGGCCTTCAGCCTGTTAGGAAAATTCTGCCCAGTGCCCCGGAGGCCCCTGCAGGCTTCCCTGTGTGGTCTGTCTTTTCAGATGAACTCAGTGTGAGGGAGGAGACAGAGCACGGGACCAGGGTCCGGCAACTCGAGTTCGGTTCTCGGCCCTCCGCTGATTTTTTATTTGTGGAGTTGCTCTGTTCTTGTGCCCCATTTTCTCATCCGCAAACGTGGGGCACGGCAGGGGTTCTCATATTCAGGCTGCCTGGAGTCCTCACTTCGCCGAGTGCTGTAATGAGCATGCACAAGGCAGCGGGTGGGAGCCTCACACTGGCAAGCCGGGGCCTCTGCTCACACCCGCAAACCAGTTCAATCTGTCACTCCTCTGTGCCTTGGATACCTCCCACGGGCACCTGCTCCGCCTGGCCTGTGCTGGGATTCAGGCACGAAAGGCCCAGGCCTGCCTCCTGGATGCTCACAGCCTAATGGAGAGGCAGACCAGCAACAGACGGATCAGCCCCGCTGGGCAGTGGTGCTTTCTGGGTCCATGCCTGAGGGCCTGGCCAGTGAAGTCGGAAGGGGGCTGGTGAGCTGCCATCCTGGGGAGGGGGCTTCTGGGCTGGGTGAGCCGCCCACACGCCATTGCGCTCCCCCCATGCTCTCCCACGTACCCATGAGGAAGCTCCCGATCTCATAGGCCCACCACTCAACACAGATCATGAGCATGCTGGGGACAGCCAGGGAGAAGAAGGGGCCCCAGTCCTGCAGGCACTGGCTGGACCAACCTGGAAACAGAGGCCCCGTGAGCTGACATCCTACCCTGCTTGCCCACCCCATTCCTGCTCCGCACAGCCAGGAGGCCCCTAAACAACTTCGGCTGTTCCTGCTCTGGGGCTTAGCAGGCCCAGGCCCTGCGCATTTTGCAGAGAGAATGCGGCTGGTCTAGAGCTGGTGTTGGGGCCCGTGGAGGAGGAGGATGCAGGAACAGGGCACCAGGCTCACCTGGCCGGTCCACGGCGTGGCCCCAGGGCCCAGGGCGTGCATGTTGGTCCCCACTCCACCCTCAACAGTGTGGGATCTTGAGCAACTACCCACCACTCCGCAGGCTCCATTTCCACCTGAAAACCCCAGGCCTTGTATCTGCTCTGCCTCCCTGGGGAGTTTTCAGGGGCGGCATGAGATCAAGGATACTGAAGGGAAACACACCGCAGGTGCGCCGGGCAAGCTTGGAAAGGGCTCAGCCAGGGCCCTGCCCCACGTGAGGCCCCAGGGGCCTGCAGAGCTGTTCCTGAAATGTCTGGCAAGAGGAGGTCCTTGTTGTATGGGATTGGCTCTGAAGAGGCAGAAAAGCACGGGCAGGCCCCGACACGCCTGGTGTTTCAGCAAATTACTTAACCTCCGTCTGTCATAATCTCCTCTTTGTAAGATGGAGCTAATGAGGTGGGGTGAGGTTTAAATGAATTCAGGAATGTCGGGCACCCCACGCACTGCTGACGCCTGGTATTCCATGGGTGTCACTGCTCTCACCGCCATCCTGAGAGCTGGGGCTGGGCAAGAAAGCTCCCTGGGCCAGGCTTCTGTGACGCAGCAGGGTTCTGCATTGTGACACCTTGGATGGAGGGACTCCGGGCCCTTGGGGCTGGGGAAGCAAAGGGGGAGGAGGGGACCGTGCAGGGTCCTGCACCTCCTCCAACAGGCTCCACTGCACCCTCTGCCTGCAGACCACCCTGCCTCAAGGCCTGGGCAGCTGTGCCGCTGGCCTGCTCAGCCTCCCAGAGCAGGCCAGGCCTCCCACCTGCCCACGTCTCCAGGTGCAGCTTCTTCAGCACAATGTAGAGAAGGAGGAAGACGGTCTGTGCGAACTGGGAGATGATGTTGGCATAGGCAGAGCCCCTGGGAAAGGAGAGAGAACAGGGCTGGGACTGATGCCAACTCTGCCACTGCCCTGCCTGAGAGAGAGGTTGCTCTGGCGGCCAACCCGTGTGGGGCAGGCATGGCTCTGCTCTACTCCCATCCTGGGATCAGACTCAACCAGGGCCCACAGGCACCTCTGGCCATGGTGGCTCTTCCCAGGCAGCCGCAACTACAGTGTCCTGGGGGCCACCCTGCCAGTGCCCACTTCGCCTCTGCTGGTGGGCTTGGGCAGGAGTGAAGAGTGGCTGTCCTCTCACCCGATCAGGCCTCCCACTGAGGTCCCCAAGGCACCATCAGGCCCCTCCAACTCCCCATAACCCTCCACTTCAGGATGGCACAGGCAGGGCCAGGATGGTGACTGATCTGTCTCCAGCAGGGGTGGGGAACTCGGTGGGCAGTGTCCCCTGACTAGGCCCCACCAAACCCCGGCCTCACCTGATCCCCAGGTTCAGCACAGAAACCAGGACATAGTTGGCCACACCGTTGACACAGTTGCCCACCACACCACTGAGGACTTGGGGCCAGGTGATCTTCTGAAAATAAATGAAAACTGGCCCTGCTAAGGTGTGAGTGGGATGGATGGAGGATGGACAAACCCACGGTTTGGAATGGGGACTCCTCCTCCTGCCCCTTCAGCCATCCCTGTTCGGGAGTTGGCAGAGGCGGGGACGCACAGCCTCTCACCTGCCTCTGTGCGGGAGGTCAGGACGTGGCAGGTGGGTTGGAAGCAACCCCTTTCAGAAGCCGGTTCACAGAGGGTGGAGAGAAGGGGAAAGCCCCAGGCCCCCTCCCACTGGAATAGGGCAGTGTGCTGGGAGAAGGGCCTCCCCGCACACCAAATGTACCTGATTTTGCAAATATTTTGCCAGCAGATTGTAAAGAAAAATCACCTGTATGAAGAGCAAGCCCAAACAAATCAACAACAATGACCAAAACCCACCAAATGAGCTTTAACAGACGTTCCTTTCCAGGACATAGTACCCTAGATTGGGGCAATGACTTCATCAAAGTATGTCTGGGGCCTCTCAGGTGCGGCCAAAGCCTACCCAGCCACCTGGACTCGTGCTTGGGCCCGGCCTATGGGAGAGGCCCCCTCAGGGCTCCCTTCTGCCACGGGGGAGACGAGCAGGCGTGCTTTGGCTCTGAGAGAGTACCCTTTGCACACATGCTCATGGTGCACAGCGCCTGGTAGGCCTTCCGGCTGCTAAGCCAGGCCTCCATCAGCTTAGGAAGGTGAGAAGTGACCCAAGGGCCTGTTCACAGAAGGGCCTACTTTGGCTCTGGCCTTAGAGACAGGATTTGAAGGCGTGACCTCGGAAGAGGGAATGGCAGGTACCGAGACATGCTGGCCGCGAGCAGCCTATGCTAAGCAGGTTCAAGACCCTACGGGGGCGGCAGGCCCTTCCCTGGCTGGGGAGGACCGCAGGGGAGTGTGCGTGGCAGTGTGTGTGTGCGTGGCAGTGTGGGGACACTTTATCTACCCGTTCTCTCCTTTCTTAAGGGGGATAGAATGGGCATCAACTGAAACCTAACCCAGGGCCCTGTCCCATTCCTTCCTGTAGCTCTCCACTTCTTTTCAGCATAGTGTACTGATACGAGTACAGAGCTGGAATAGACCGGGTTCGATTCCTGGCTCTGCCTCTTCAGAGATGTGTGATCTTGGGCAAGTTACTTAACCTCATCCTTACAGATGAGTTTGTCTCCTCATCTGTAATGGGGATAATAATAGTGCATGTGTGTACTTAATACACACTCAATATTTTACATACATAAATATTGCAAAGTTAATATTGCAAAGTGCTTCCAAAATGATACATGGGACATTTTAAGCATTCCAAGTGTTAGCCACGCCCTGTGTTAGTCTTATTAGTCACTATTATTGGTAGTTAACTTTTGCAGCTGCCTTTTATGGAAGGGCCTTGGCTTACTGACAAAGAAGACACCACAGTGATATCTTTATAGGGCATTTCCCCCTGACCCAGCCCCAGTAGTCCTGGTTGACAACATGCCATCACTTTTATCCGAAAAGCCAAAGCATGGATTATATGGAAGACTCAGAGAAGAGCAATCCTATAAGGGGGTTTCCATAAACCAGAAGAAATCTGTAACCAACTAGGCCCCAAAAAGGTCATGGCACTGGCCTGGCAGAGAGGTGGGCATGGCTGGGTCTGCTGGGACTGCACGCTGTTCGGGCCTCCCACCTTCACCCTGACCTCTTCCCTGCCCAGCTCCCTTGCCCACAACTCTCCGCCTGGTGCTGTGGAGGCTACACTGTCAGAAAGTGAGCTCAGCCTGGTAGGGCCGTCCAGCACACAGAACTGGCAGTCGTAACAGGCATCACCAACCTGCAAGTCAAACAGTGAAGCATTGGGCTGCAGAAGAGGCATAGAGATCCCTGGGTCACTGGACATACAGACACTGACCCAGATAGATGCACTGTTGATTCATTTAGTATTTAACAAATCAATGCAGAAGGGAGAGAATATGCAATAAATGGTGTTCAAAACATTTTTAGTTGGACTAATATCTTTTTTTCTGTCGCCCAGGCTGGAGTGCAGTGGCCGGATCTCAGCTCACTGCAAGCTCCGCCTCCCGGGTTTACGCCATTCTCCTGCCTCAGCCTCCCGAGCAGCTGGGACTACAGGCGCCTGCCACCACGCCCGGCTAGTTTTTTGTATTTTTTAATAGAGACGGGGTTTCACCGGGTTAGCCAGGATGGTCTCGATCTCCTGACCTCGTGATCCGCCCGTCTCGGCCTCCCAAAGTGCTGGGATTACAGGCTTGAGCCACCGCGCCCGGCCGGATTAATATCTTAAATGTAAAAATAGAAACCCTAGAAGAGTCCAAAAAAGTATAAGCAAATGTGTATATAATCTTGCAGTGGGTTAAGTCTTTTTTTTTTTTTTTTTTGAAACAGAGTTTCACTTTTGTCACCCGGGCTAGAGGGCAGTGACATGATCTCGGCTCACTGCAACCTCCACCTCCCGGAGGTTGAAATGGGATCAATATGTGTATATTGGGTTATAATATGCTTTCTCCCTTTAAAATATGTCGTTAGTCTCTTTATAGGACTGAATAACCTTCCACAATATAAATTCCAAAGGTTATCTGGTACCCATAGTTAGGCTATACTTCTCTTCTGTCAATCATCCTCATGACCCAGCAGGAAGTCACAGCAGGATAGGGTGGGAAAGCAAAAAGCCAGAATTTAGGAGAAAGTGATTCCATGCTCAGCAAACAGGGCACCTACCGGAAGTCCTGGAATGAAAATCATGACATAGTCCTCAGTCAACCTGCAAGAGAGGGAGAAGCTCCGGAGCTGACCAGGCTGTGGCCTGGGGAGACAGGGCCCTCTCCCCTGTGTCCTCCAGGACAGGGTGCTCAGCCGCTGTCCCAAGGTCTCAGCCAGGACTGTGAAACCTAGCATCAGGGACTGCTGCTTCCAGATGCTAAACAGGTGCCAGGAGGGGCAGCTGAAGCACCCAGACACCCAGGCCTCAGGACTAGGGAACTTCAATTCAGAATAATGTGGTTTGTAAGAAAAAACAGTTATATCTTAAAAAGCAATAATCAAATGAAATGTACATTATATAAATGAACAAGGCATCCCTACGAGAGGGCATCTCTAAATTTAATAATAAACTATAGGCTGGGCGCGGTAGCTCACGCCTGTAATCCCAGCACTTTGGGAGGCCGAGGCAGTGGATCACGAGGTCAGGAGATAAAACCATCCTGGCCAACATGGTGAAACCCCGTTTCTACTAAAAATACAAAAATTAGCCGGGTGTGGTGGCGCATGCCTGTAGTCCCAGCTACTCAGGAGGCGGAGGCAGGAGAATCACTTGAACCCGAGAGGTGGAGGTTGCAGTGAGTCAAGATCGCACCACTGCACTCCAGCCTGGGAGACAGAGCGAGACTGTCTCAAATCATCATCATCATCATCATCATCATCATCTATAATTCATCAGAAAGTGGTTGTCATCTTTCTCCTTTTTGGAATATGGGAAAACGCACACACTTCATTTCTTCAAAAGCATCTGTAAAGCTCCAACTGTGTCCGGGCACACAAATGCAAATAAAATGCGAATCCCAAATTGTTTCTCGCCTTGCCTCCTTAATTAAAACTGGGCGTTTGTCCGCCTCTGTCCCCTGCTGGTCACTGCTGGAGCTGCAGCCGTGGGGAGAATCCCCAAACCAAAGCCTTGAAGGTACCCACAGGCCCAGTGCACTGTGAGCACTGGTGGCCTAGAGAAGCATGGGGTCTGAGGGCTGAGCTGCTTCAGGGTTTCCCTCGGCGGCCTGGGTTTTCCAGGAGCCTCTGGGTCTCTGGCAAGCCCCATCTCCCCAGCCGGAGCCCAGCGCACCTGGACACGTCCGGGTCCTGCCTGAAGAGCAGCAGGAGGTGCTGGGTGTTGAGGAAGAGCGCCCAGCAAGGGAGGCAGCAGAGGAGCAGGACCAGCGCGCCCCGCTGCAGGATCACGCCCACGTGCTTCTTGTTGGGGCTGCCGAAGCTCTGCAACACAGCCCGCCCCGCGTCAGCCCTTTCCACTGCCCCGGCCATTCCTAAACCCCGCGCGGGGAGCGGACTGTCAGCAGCGCCAGCGGCGTGTGGCGGAGCCTGCGGCCTCTGGTGACTGCAGCCTGGCGCCCGCAGCCTGTAACGGCACAGGGGCCTTCCTGAGCCTGGACCCCCACTGTCTCCACTGTTCTTCCAAAGCTCCAAGGAGGACGAAGTCATGGGGGGGCTTCATCATATGTCGCGGAGGGATAAGTGGAGCCAGGACCAAGCCCAGGTCGACCGTGAGGCTAGAACCCCCAGGGAGAAGTGAGGCCTTGCTGCTTTGTGACCCCACGGCCACCTGGGCAGCCCCTGCTGGACTGCAGGCCCCTGCAAGCAGGGAGGTTCCTTCTGTGTCCCCTTGGCCTTTGACACATGCCTGCATGTAGGCAGCCGAACTTAGGACTGAGGCTGGGGAACTGGTTGTCTTTCTCTACTTGGTGACCTCCTCTGGGGACAAGAGGTCAGAGAACTGTCTCCACCATCTCCACCCCTTTCTCCTGGCCCAGACTCTTTCAAAGGGGAGGGTCTGTTTCCCTGACAGCCTGTGGTCCTTGGAGGTGGGGCAGGGGCAGCTGACCCCAGGGCCCATCACTGCCAGATCACCTGGGTACATCCCTTCCACCTGCCATCTCCATGGCACCTGTGGGATTGGCTCTGCCCTTGCCTGGCTCCCTGCCCAGCTCCGGGAGGCCACCCACCTGAGACATCAAGGTGTCACATGCCGAAGACAAACCAACTCCTACAGAAACTCCGCAGACATTGACAAACTGGTGCCACACACAGGAGGAAACAAGAGCTTGTCAGGCGAGGCCTGAAGAGAGGCCCCTGCATCTGGGCTGAGCCGGGGTGGGGAAATGCTGTCCATCAGGCAGCGGTGGCAGAGGTGGCTCTGCTCCGCAGCCTCACGTGCTGTGTGCCCCAGGGCCAGACTGCCTCCATCTCCGGCCCTCAGTTTCCACCTGTGAAGGCGGCTGTCCAGCCACGTGGGCTGTGTCTTCCCATCCCTGACCAGCCACCCAAGACGGGCCCACCCGGGAACCCGGTGGAAAAGCCTGGGGAGAGAATGTCCCCGCTCTGGGCCAAGCTGGGTACTCACGGCCACCGCAAGGGTCACCGATGCCAGCTCCACCTTGCCCAGGTGCCCACAGAACACAGTGCTCACGATGTAGATCATGAAAGTCAGCATCTGGAACAGGAACTGGAGGACAGCGGCCGGGTCAGACCTGGGGCCACAGGTGCCCACACAGCCCAGGCCTGCAAGACAGGCCTCTCCAGCTTTGAGGGCCCCGCACCAGTGCCCCGAGAGGTCACCTACGCCCGGGGAAGCCAGGGCCGGAGGTCAGGTGGCTTGAGCCCAGCTCCCATTCTGTCTTCTGCAGCCACAGTCACCCCTGGCCTCCACATCCCTTCCCAGAAGGGTCAGTGCACGAGAGACACCCAGCGCAGTGCCTGGTGCCCTGAGCTTGACCCAAGTGTCTGATACTGATACTGCCGTTCCTATTATAACAATAATTTGGTAAGGCCGCACAACCCAAAAAAGGAGAATTAAATACACCAAAATCTTAGTAATGGCTATTTCCAAGCACTAGGATTTGAGTTAAACTTCTTTCTTCTTTATAACTTTCATTTTTTTCTGAAAATTTTACAGGAAGTGCAAATCCATTACTCCTTTTTTTTTTTTTTTTTTTTTTTTTTTGAGACGGAGTTTCGCCGTTGTTGCCCAGGCTGGAGTGCAGTGGCACGATCTCGGGTCACTGCAACCTACCCATCCCGGGTTCAAGCGATTCTCCTGCCTCTCTCTCCCGAGTAGCTGGAATTACAGGCGCCCACCACCATGCCTGGTTAATTTTTGTATTTTTAGTAGAGTCAGGGGTTTCTTCATGTTGGCCAGGCTGGTCTCCAACTCCTGACCTCAGGTGATCCTCCCTCCTCGGCCTCCCAAAGTGCTTAGATAACAGGCATGAGGCACCGCGCCCAGTCCATTACTCTTCGTGGTCAGAAAAAAAAAAAAAAAGTATATAAAACAATTTCCCCTTTGGAAATGAAATGGGTAGCCAGCCCCTTCTTCCCCCTGCGAAGGTGCTGCAGGCGTCATGCATCTCCGGGCTGCATTTGTCCTGGAGCCATCTTCCAACTCAGGCTTTTGTGGGTTTCCAGCTGAGGCACACCCACCCCTTCTGTGTGGGGGCTGCCTGCTGCTGAGCAATGTCAGGCCCCACTGCCACTGGGGATTGTCCAGGGACAGCCTCCAGGAGCCCTCCTGCTGTCCCCAGACCCTAGACCTGGCAGTCAGCATGGGCAGTTTCTGGAGAAAATGTGAGCACATTTCTGGATCCTGCCTGCAAGGCAGACACCCTCAGCCTCTCAGCTTCCTCCACTCCCTGCCTGCCCCCCAGCTCCTCCTCCTTACCAGGGGTCCAGAAAGGGCAAAGAGAGTCCACATCTCAGCCCCAAAGCCTCTGGGAACCAGCCTGCTGAGGGCAGGACAGCAGCCCCCGTGGTCCGGGGGCACTGTGTCCTGGAGGCTGTCCATTCCTGGCCGGGCGCTGGCCACCCTGCACGCCTGAGCGCCCGCACGGCCAGCTTTGTCCAGCGAGTTGTCCCCTGCCTGGGCAACCCGTGTCAGTACAGCTTGGCTAATGAGTAAGGGGCAGGAGGAGGGGCCACCATGGCAACTTGTGGGATGAGCCCTGCCTCCCAGGGCACTGAGGCCCTGCTGCCCAGCCCACTGCCCCAGCCATTGGGGAGGACAGGATAGAGGCCTGGGCTCCTGGGAGTCACCCAGACGGCTGCCTGTTGTGTCTGGTCTCCCAGAGGGATTGGCAGTAAGGCCTCAGCAGGAGAAGGTCCAGGGCTGCCGGCAGTGGCTGTGGGGGGTGTGCTGAGGCCAGGACAGGGCAGCCTGGCTGGGGCAGCTGAGCCACTGGCGTCCTGTACCCAGGTGTGATGGTGCCCACAATGACTCCCATTTTTCAGAGGAATTGGTGGCCTGCCTGAAGTCACAGAGCAGGTAGTGGCAGAGCCTGAACAGCCCCCAGCCCTGCCTTTCCCTGGGAGAAGGCAGCTTCCCAAGAGACAAGGGTGTGGCAAACCCCGTGGCAGTGTGGTCCCTAGCCTTTCCTGCGGGAGGGGCCTGGGCCTGTGCCTGGGGATGGGGATGGCAGTTAGGACACCTCGGCAGAGTCCCAAGCCCCCCACTGCCCATCACCCCTTTCAGCAGCATATCTGAGAGCTGGGGGTGGCATTGCTTGGAAAAGCAGCTCACTATGCACGCCAGTCATTGTGCCCAGCAAGGCTGTGACTCGGCGTCCCACCAGGGTCCTCCGTCACCCTCCCAAACAGCCCTCTCTGCTTTTCCTTGCTTAGATGGCCTGTGACTCCCCCCTCAACCTGCCCCAAGACCGCAGGGCAGTGGGAACCAAGAGAGGCATCTAAGGATTGCACCGGTCACCTAGCCCAGTCCTGGATCAGGCTTTTGGGTGTGGGTTCAGCCCAGGAGAAGTGAGCGAAGGGGCAAGGGGGGCAGGAAGATGGCAGGCAGGCCAGCGGCTGTGGGAGGGCTGAAGATACCCCAAAGGCCCCACTTGGTTCCCATGTCTATCCCTGCATCGGAGGAGTGACCGGGGTGGGATTCTGAGATGCAGCCCCCAGAGCCACGAGGAGGAAGGAGCAGACCCTGAAGGAGAGGAGGCAAGATAAATACAAAAAAAGGGGTGCACTACACCCATGGGCCACCCCGAACATAGGCACAGCCCCACCCCAGTCAACACGCAGCCTTCTTTTTTGACACAGAATTCTGAAACGCTCCACTGGAAGCACCTGCATCAGGATCACCTCGGAGGTCACGTTCCTGCCCTTGTTCTGATGGCTCCTATCACGGCACTCTCCAACCTGTGCACCAGATAGTACCTTTACCACCTGCCTAGAGGAAAGAAGACATTTGATCACCATCGTGATTGTGATGATGACACCAAACGGGAGGAAGTACAGGTGAAAGCTACAGCCCCACAGGCCAGGCTATAGTTAGTATGTCTGACTTCCCTCCTCCAACACCTTCACATCCTTCTCACCTTTGGCCAGTTCTCACGGTCAGCCTACATCTTCCAAAAGGGCAGCCGCAAATCCTCCTGTATCCAGGGGACCTGGACCTGGGGTCTCTGTTATGTGAAACCAGCTGCTTCCAGCTGACAGGGCCTCTGGGGAGAGCAGTCACTTGCTGGCCTTGGCCTGTCACCTCCTGTCACAGCATTGCAGTGAGCCCTGTGGCCAGAAACAATACTTCTTGGGAGCCCGTAGTGATGGAGATGTTCGGGAGCCCACACGTGGAGGTATAGGCAGAAGAGTCCATCTCACTCCAGGTCACTTTTTTTTTTTTTTTTTTGAGACGGAGTCTCGCTCTGTCGCCCAGGCTGGAGTGCACTGGCCGGATCTCGGCTCACTGCAAGCTCCGCCTCCCGGGTTCCCGCCATTCTCCTGCCTCAGCCTCCCGAGTAGCTGGGACTACAGGCGCCGCCACCTCGCCCGGCTAATTTTTTGTATTTTTTTAGTAGAGACGGGGTTTCACCGTGTTAGTCAGGATGGGCTCGATCTCCTGACCTCGTGATCCGCCCGTCTCGGCCTCCCAAAGTGCTGGGATTACAGGCTTGAGCCACCGCGCCCGGCTCCAGGTCACTTTTAATGAGGACAGCTGGCTCCGTTGCCCCACCAAGCTGGAATATGTTCAGTGCAGACGCTCCGCCATTAGCTTGGCGACATCAGGCTTTACCCAGAGCTGATTGGCGTTCAGCACTCAGCTGCACAGGACATCTTCCCGAGGGCCAGTCCCAGGCCGAGCATCTCCAAAATCCCTTCTCAGGAACATTCCCAGGATTGTTGTGATAGGAGCCAATGCATTCCCACATTCTCTCTGGGGAGACAGTCCCCTCCCACCTCCTCTCAGAATTTCAATCCCCAGGCCCCAGTGGGTTTGACCCCGGGGAGGAGCAAGGGCGATTACTGACTCCACTGCCATGCGTTGGCCCCCCCAGGCAAAGGGGGTGCAGGCGGAGTGTGGGGTGGGGGGAGCCACCTCCTCCAGGTGTGGAGTGTCAGAGCTCCGTGAGTCCTCCATAGTCTCCCAGCAATGCCTTCAGGCCCTCCTTTTGTGGTGGTAACTGTAGACTCAGCAGCACCGCCCTGCAGCCACCTGCAGACTCAGCTCTGAGTTGGGTTTTCCGGGATTCCGCCCTGGAACCTGAGACACTTTGAGCGAAGCTGCAGATGGCCCCTGTGCGCCATCCTGTGGCTGGGAGGGCAGATCTCCGAGACCGCAGCCTCTGCCCTCTCCAGAGCTTCCAATGCTGTCAGGAGCAACACGCCACCCTTCAGTCCTGCATCTTCTGTGGTCCCAGATACTGCACACAAGAGACGGATCAGCAGCTCACTCTTGGGAACAGGGCTGCCAATCCCCTAGAATATGCAAGCAAGTCCCGGCAATGCTGGACCCTTTCCCTTCTCAGCTGATCACTTGTTTCCAAGGCCCTTATTTCCTGAGGCACGTGGCCTATGACATCCTCCTGATGCCAGTTGCTGGGTCAGCCACGGTTCTCTGATGGAAACAGTAGAAACGAACTGGGATCGTGCCAGCAGATGGAGGAAGGGAGGAAGCGGGAGAGGGGATTGTTATTGCCAGGTGATACAGAAGAGGGCTGAGCCGCTGGCCTTGAGAAGGGAGAATCATGTAGCCCCGGACTCTCAGGGTGATTCAGGGAAAGCTGACTCAGCCCCAACACCTTCAGTCCCAGAGATAAATTCCTGGAAGACTGGGGCAAGAGCCAACCTGAACAAGAATGGAGGTGGAAAGGGTGGGAAGGAGGGACGCTGAGAGCTACCTGAAGTGGGGCAGGGGTCCGCCCAGAGGGTGGGATGCTATGAAAGTAAAAACGTGCCTACACACCCTGCCTCATTTATCTATTACTGCACGACCCATGCCTCCCAAAATTGGTGTCTTAAAACCATTATCATCTGTGTCATGAGTCTGCGAGGTGAGTTGGGTGGTCCTTCTGCTTCCCCCTGTCCAGCTGTGTCTGCAGTCACCGGGGACTGGCCCAGACTGGCCTGTCTTCCAGGCTCATGTCCAGGCCACGGTGGGTGCCTGCTATCAGCTGAGACTGTCAGTCGGAGCATCTCCACCTCCCCTCATAGGACCTCCCCACGCACCATGGGCATCCAGCATGGAGCGACCTCCCCACGCACCACAGGCATCTCAGCGTGGAGCGACCTCCCCACGCACCACGGGCATCTCAGCGTGGAGCGACCTCCCCAGGCACCACGGGCATCTCAGCGTGGAGCGACCTCCCCACGCACCACGGGCATCTCAGCGTGGAGCGACCTCCCCACGCACCACGGGCATCTCAGCGTGGAGCGACCTCCCCAGGCACCACGGGCATCTCAGCGTGGAGCGACCTCCCCACGCACCATGGGCATCTCAGCGTGGAGCGACCTCCCCACGCACCACGGGCATCTCAGCGTGGAGCGACCTCCCCACGCACCATGGGCATCACAGCATGGAGCTGGAGCAGAAGACAGGACATTTGATGGTGCAAGTGGAAGCTGCATACAGGTCTAGAGCCAGCCTGCGAAGTCCCCATGCCCCTCTGCCTCATCCTGTTGACCACACGGCTAATCATGGACTCTCCCAAATTTCACAGGAGAGGGAACAGCCTCCACTTCTAGGTGGGAGCGGCCGAGAGGCCATGCCTTCTTTAACCAGCACCTTCCTCTTCGTCCTTTCTATTCCTCCCTCTCCATTCTCTCTTCTGCTCTCTCCTGTGCTACCCACTGTCCACACTTGGCCCCGAACAAGGGCAAACAGATAAAGAGCAAAAGTGGCGAGGGGACTCCTGCATATCCAGGACCTCTCTGGGGAAGGAGGACCCAAAGCTACAAAATCCTGGGAGTGGCAGGAGGCAGGGGGAGGGCCAAGGGAGTGGAGAGGCCTGGCAAGCCCCCAGCACACACCCTGGGATTAGGGAGACTCCCAGCCAGCGAGGGGAAGCTTGACCCAGGGGGAGCTGGCCCCCCAGCCCCAGCAGCCTCACTGACGCAGAGCCACGAGGCATGTGGGCGTGCCAGGAAGTCCTCCTCACATGAGGGCTCAGCTCCTGCAGGCTCGGGGCCTGCTGGGGACAAAGGCCAGGTCCTTGGGCCCTGCCTTCACATGACTAATTTCCTGGAGTCCTGCCAAGTACAGTCTGGGTTCAGGGCCTCTGTTAACCTTTCCTCACTCGGTTACACCTCACTGGACCCAAAGGTGTTGCATTTGCCCTTTGGCTCCCAGAGACATGCACCCCAAGGGCCGTGGACCAATGTCCTTTCCTCCAACCCCTCTCCACTGCCTCGTGACTGCAAAACACCCATTCCTCCCCTGGCAGGGTGGGGACTCTGGCTGATGGCTCAGCCCCACATTCAGGGCAAAGGACAGGTGGGGAGGACTAAGCTGTCCGGCCCCTGCCTCTTCCCCCAGGTCTCCCACTGGACAGTGACCAACACCTGCTAAATCCCTGAGGCTCCCCTCCCCCACTCCTCCTCAACCATCTCATAGATTTTGGCAGCTGCCTCTCTCTCTCTGCCTCCACCTAGTTCCCCCTCCCTCCATCCCTCACCCCTTCCTATCTTCCTCTCTCCCTCCTCCCACAAGGTCTCCCTGGGCACCTTCCAGGCC